TTACAGATTCATACCATTTTGGCCATGTTCTCGGAGACAGGCTTTAAGGCCTCCACTGAGTCAATAGTGATGGTAGTGGCTTTCTCCATAGCCAGCTGAAGACTAAACCGGTCCCGCAGTTCTTTCAGGCTGAAGTCCAGTTTAGGATACGTGGCACCTTCCCTCTGAAACACACAAGATGGGAATCAAGTCAGTAAAACCATAAAATAAATGCAAATCAAATGTACTTTGCTACTTAGTTTATTAAAAAGAGAAATGCAACTATCTGAGATTCAAATATGGTTCTATTACCTTTTACTTTATTTTTTTTATTAGTAACAATTTTAGTAGTATAACCTATGCTGAATTTCTAATGTAGAAGTTTAATTTATTTTTTTAACATTTTTAAATTAATTGTACTAAATTAAGATGTTAAACTGACAGTCCTACTATTAACAGCAACACTGACTGCATAACATTGAGACATTTGCTTTACTATTTTTACATTTATTAGTAAAAACTGTATTAGTGTAATTTAATGCCGACTTTCCAATGCAAAATTTTCACTTTTTAATTTTTAATTAATTGTACTACATTAATGTTTTAAATTGACAGCCTTAGTATTAACATACTAAGTAACTGCATAATATTATAACATCTATTTTGCTGATTTTATTTATTAGTGACAATTATATTATTTTATAATTATCCTTACTTTCAAATGTAAAATTTTAATTACTTTTTTTTAACACTTTTTTAAATTAATTGCAATAAATTAATGTGTTAAACCGGCAATCTTATTATTAACTAACTGCATAGTATTATAACATCCTTGCACAACCAGTGTGTTTTGTGTGTTTGTGTTATGTGTGTACAAAATCATAACAGAGCTCAAGATGATCCGCTAAATAATGAGCGCTGAGAATCATCATCACCAGAGGCTCTAAGTTTAATATTACTGGCTCCTTATATCTGGATATGAAGGCTGAGAGGGTTTAAATCTCATTAGGATAAACATAAAAAACGATCATTCATTTGACTGCCAATTATGGAGACTATTTACTTCAACCTTTCGCAGGATGCACAATTTGTTATGAGGACTGATCGAAAGAAGCCATTGAACTTTATGGCCCAATTAAAGAACCAAAAATCTTTATGTTTAAGTGCACTTATATATTTACAAGAACCAAGCAAACTAGCTAACTAAAATAACCATACGAATGTCGATGTATTTATTCTGTCTTTTAACTTTAAGGTACAGCCAATTAAAATCTAATGAGGTTGAACAGTCCCACTCTCTCAAGTCTGGCCGGCAGCCAAATGTGTGGCTACATAAAATACGAACTGTAAATACGGCATATATTATAGCAACAGCTTGCTAAGTGGTGCAGAGATCGTGGTAATGTGGGCTGTGCGTTGACATGTGCAGTCATTTATTATTCGAGGGGAGGCGTTACCGTCCTGCACAGACATCTGGGAATTATCACCAAACACATCATGGAAGGGCTGGGACAGAACAGGTCAGCCGGAGCTTTAATACTCACAAGGAGAGAGTGACTGCTAAATCTGTCCTCAATAGAGATCACATGGACACCAGCCAAAGCAAGCACAAAGGTTGTGGAGGGATAAATCATGCCCACGGTGATGACTACTACAGCACGGCCAGGCAGAACACAAGATGCAGTGTTGTGTATGGCTCAGCAGAGGCCCTTATTTCCAAGGTCCACAGCCCTGACAGGGAGAAGCACGTGTGGTGACCTCTGTGTTAGGGATGTGTCGTTCCAATCTTCAATGCTTTAGTGAGGTTGTGCAAATAAAGGATGCTTTGGGAGGCAATGCAACTGTGTGAGGTAACAACTCAAACTATCTAAACCTGGTGCACACAACATGATTTTGAAGTCAAAGTAGGGCTGGACGATATGGCCAAAATTGATATCACGATATATTTCTTAATTTCGGTCGATACGATATAATTCCGATATCGATATGAACACTATTTATCTGAAATAGAAATCTTTTGTAACATTATCATGAACGCTTCTTTATCAGATCAAATGAAAATGCCATCGAAACTTTTCTGAAGACAGTCAATTCCCTTCAGAGATACATTCATATAAAACACCCGCGCCATGTTATGATTTTGAAACGTGCAGTGCTCATGTTTATTCAACGAAGTCAAACGGCACAAATAAATCAATGTATGGGAAACACTGGTAATGTATATCGAAATATCGGAAATGTGTTTAAAAATCATATCACCGTTATTGAAAAAAATTATATCGCGATACATATTGATTTTGAATTATTGTCCAGCCCTAAGTCAAAGATACATTTCAAGAATCATAAAAAGAGGTAAATGGAAAGAATTGGTGGTATTTGATCACTTGTGCTCACTGACAGCCAATTAGTTGCCTTGATGAAACATTAATTGTGAATTTTGACAGTGACAGTGACCATTTTTTTCCCTCTCAAGGCGAAACTTTGTGAACATTTGCTTGCTATGAGCTAATCTGATCATGATCATGAACTGAAATTGATCACTGGTCGACACTGTCAATCATTACAGTAGTACTATGACAAATATTTTACAGTCTGGATTAAGACAGTTTATCTTAAATTAAAACATTAAAATATTCTAAACAATTATAAAAATAAAAAAAATCACAAAACTGAAAAAAAATTATGCAAGCAGTATATTTGAACATGTATTTAGCTACGTTAACATTGTCAATAATTACAATAGTACTGTTATGAATATCGTACAGTCTGGCGTAAGATCACAGTTTTGTTTTGGCTTTTATCAGGACAACAATCATAAACGACAAAGGAATAAAATAAAATAACTACAAAAAATAAAGAAAAACCAAGCAAACAAAACACAATAAAACAAAGCACAAGAAAGCAAAACAAAGCAAATCACAAAAAAGCAAAGTAAAACACAACAACGAAGGGCACAACACAACAAAGCAAAGCAAATTCTAACAAAAAAAAAAACATCACACAAGTAAACTTCTGCCATCTACATAAACTGCATACTAGTACTGTTATGCATAATGTACAGTCTGGTGTAAGATTTTGTTTTGGCTATTATCAGGACTACAATCATAAGTGATAAAGGAATAAAATAAAATAACTACAAAAATAAAAAACAAACAAACAAACAAAACAATAAAACAAAGCACAAGAAAGCAAAACAAAGCAAATCACAAAAAAGCAAAGTAAAACACAACAACGCAGGGCACAACACAACAAAGCAAAGCAAATTCTAACAAAACAAAACAAAACAAAAACATCACACAACAAAACTTCTGCCAACAACATATTTTAAAAACAAATTTAGCCTCTTGGGCATCTCTGAAAAGTTGCTAACAGAATTTCTTTACTGATTAGTGCTAAGAGTTGCAGCATTTCATCTCAGTCCTTCACATGACCCAGTTCTTCTGTACTTTCCAGGAAAGTTTCCATTCAAGGTGTTAGGCAGCGGGGTGTGGGTTACAAATGAACTCATGTGCACCTGCGGTAATGAATCAGTTGGGGAGAAAGGGGGATGGCGGGGAATTGGTTGTGGGGCAGACTGGCCCAATAAAACCCCCCAGTGTGCCCAAAAATAGAGTGGGCACCTCTGTATGAAGGAATTATATAGCAGATGACAGCAGACATGGTAGTGAAACTCGTCATTTTGACACACAAGACAAGTTCAGGCAGGTCTTTTAATGTTGACAGAAAAGACAGGTATATAGTTCTATGAAAAGCACCACCTGTTTTATAATACCAGCCTCCACTCCAACTCCATTTTAGCAGTGCAATTAACCTGTTTTACAACCAATTCACTAGCATTTCACGATGAAGGTTTAACGCAAATGGTCATATCTATATATGAAAAACCCTAACGTGACGAAAAAGGACAACAAAGTCTTTAATGAGTAGTAAAATATGTACAGTCTAGGGTGTTGTAACACCATAAACACTGTATAGCTCCAGTAAAAATTCACAAGATAAAAAAAAAAAACACAACAGACAGGACAGAATTGAATAAAAAAAATGAATGAATAAAAATGAATAAAAGTGCATTTTATAAATAGAATGTAATAAAGTAAATATGATTATAAAATTGATAAATATGATATAAAAATACAGCTGTATATATATGTATATATATATATATATATATATATATATATATATGTTTTTCAGCTGCAGGGACAGGACGACTGGTTGCAATCGAGGGAAAGATGAATGCGGCCAAGTACAGGGATATCCTGGGCGAAAACCTTCTCCAGAGTGCTCAGGACCTCAGACTGGAACTAAGGTTTACCTTCCAACAAGACAATGACCCTAAGCACACAGCTAAAATAACGAAGGAGTGGCTTCACAACAACTCTGTGACTGTTCTTGAATGGCCCGGCCAGAGCCCTGACTTAAACCCAATTGAGCATCTCTGGAGAGACCTAAAAATGGCTGTCCACCAACGTTTACCGTCCAACCTGACAGAACTGGAGAGGATTTGCAAGGAGGAATGGCAGAGGATCCCCAATTCCAGGTGTGAAAAACTTGTTGCATCTTTCCTAAAAAGACTCATGGCTGTATTAGATCAAATGGGTGCTTCTACTAAATACTGAGCATTTTTCAGTTTTTCTTTTTTAATAAATCTGCAAAGATGTCAACAATTCTGTGTTTTTCTGTCAATATGGGGTGCTGTGTGTACATTAATGAGGAAAAAAAATGAACTTAAATGATTTTAGCAAATGGCTGCAATATAACAAAGAGTGAAAAATTTAAGGGGGTCTGAATACTTTCCGTACCCACTGTATATATAAACTACCTTTCAAAAGTTTGGGATGAATAACTTTTAAAATATAATATAAATGCTGTTATATTTATTCTTTTAATTCTAAATTTCTTCCTAAAAAAAAAAAAAAAAATATTAAGCCACAAAACCGTTTTCAAAATTGATATTAATAAGACATGTTTCTTGATCACCAAATCAGCATATCAGAATGATTTCTGGAAGGATCATGTGACACAGAAGAGTGAAAATTCAGCTTTGCCATCACAGGAATAAATTACATTTTAAATATATATAAAAATGCAAAATATGTTATAGTGCAATAATATTTCACAATATTACTGTTTTTACCATATTTTGGTCAAATAAATGCAGCCATGGTGAGCATAAGAGACATTTTCAAAAGCATTAAAAAAAATCGTACATATCCCAAACTTTTGAAAAGTAATATAAAGTAATGTAATGTAATGGTACCTCAGCATAAAACTGTTCCACCAATGGCAGGGAACAGACAGGTTGATCTCTGGATACATTGGGTTGGTATTCGGGTTGCACCAATTGGACGGCCCTCAGAACCATTTCTCTTTCATCCTTTTTAAACACACACTGTCTGAACACATCATCCACGGACAGGCCGTCCATTTCCATCTGCTGCAGACACCTGTGTGGACCAGAAGAGATATGATTATATTTCACAATAACATGTATTTGAAGCTTTTTTTTTTTCATTGTTACTTTCCAATACCAGATAAAACATGGCCTTGCAATTGTGGGCTAACTCCCAGATGAAGCCATTACTTAAAAAAAAAAAATTATTTGATAATCCAAAGGTGGATGGGAAAGGCCTTATAATGAGAAAACTTCCACGATCGCAGCACCTGGGCTCATGGCGCTGAGACTGGCGGGGGGTTGGAGTGGAATATCAAATATTTGCATTGACACGGAGCGCTTTCGAACAGAACGTTCTGCTCCCTCCTGCAGTGGGTGTCAGATAGGCCACTGCCATATGTCCAAGAATTACAAGGCCGTGTTTATTCGAACTGAAAAAGTGTGAATAAAGTCAGAGCCCCACGCAGCTGGAATGCTCACTGTTGATGTAGAGCTATGTTTCTATCATGGACAGAATACAAATTAAAGCACTCTGGAAGAGAGAATGAGAGTCTGTGCCAGAGAAAATAAGAAAGGAATAGCTGATGACAGACCACCAAAATAATTGAAAAAAATAAAATAAATAATAAAATGCACCCAAAAATGAAAATTTGCTGAACATTTACTCGCCTTCAGGCCATCCAAGATGTAGATCAGTTTGTTTCTTGATCTAAACAGATTTGGAGAAATTTATCATTACGTCACTTTCTCACCAATGGATCCTCTGCAGTGAATGGGTGAGTGAATGGATGTACCTAAGTCCTAAGAGGCCATGGATTATTAATATTTTTTCTTTCTTGTTTTCTCGTGATCACGACTTAATTATTTCGTGATCTCGACATAACGAAAGTTGTTTTCTTGTTATCACGACTTATATTTTCTCCTGATCTCGACATAACAAAAGTTGTTTTCTCATTATCACGACTTAATTTTCTCCTGATCTCGATCGACATAACGAAAGTTGTTCTCTACGTTAAACACCTGCGCCAACAGGTGGCAGTACAGACCTGAATATAACTGATGGTGTTGTATAATGTATATATCCACTTTACTGTACGTGTTTAGGACAGAATAAGGGCCTTCTTCGTGATCGCTATAATTTGTGCAGTATATTTCATTACTGACATTTAATTAATTCATAAATGTTAAATGCTTGAATCAATATGATTATTTTGTGTATCGTTAAGTTTTTGCTAGACGCATGAGTTTCACCACCGCGTTCCGTTTCATAAACTAACTGCTTATTAAAACCAAGGCTGCACTGTATTCTAACTGCTTATTAAAACCAAGGCTGACGTCACTGTATTCTGTTTGCACCTATATCTTTATTTGTGCATCTATGAAATACATGATTGTTAGTTAATAATCGGGGACTTTGTGTTCATCTAAGATGCGCTTCAATTATGTATTTGTAATGTGCATCTTTTCCTTATTTTTAATCTTTATTGTAAATCATTAAATGTATATTGATAAGAAATGTGATTTATATGTAAAGTGTACAGGCTAATTTAATTCAGTGATGTTCTACAGTGTTGTAATCTGTTGTATTTTCTACATTTCTTTGTGGAAAACACACACACACACAGCATCCCAAGCTTGTAACATGATATCAGTCACAGCA